CCAGACAGTGTTTGTCTGCTATTCATAAGGTTTTCCCTGACCAGTTTTTGAGAAGTGGATGGCCTCTTCCTTCTTCCTAGTCTGTCTCAGTCTGCAAGCTGTGTTGAAACCTGTGCATCATGTGCAACTGTGCTGGCATCTGAAACACTGGTGGCACAGCCTCAAGCCTCACAGCAACATACAAGCCCCACAGGATGACAAACTGACAGACAAGTTTGTCTCCCTTAGCTATTGAAAACCTCTGAGCCCTCCCCTTACCTAATTCCTACCCAGAACCTTCCACTCTGTGGTCCCTGGCTGCTCCCTCCCTTTCCTGGTTCTAGGGGGCTGGAGCCTAGCCTTGCCTCCCACCCCTTACCTGGATCCTACTGCTTCTGTGGTCCCCAGCTGCTTCACTCCCTCTAATAGTGGTAGCCAGGCATAATCCATTTTTTTCTGGTCTCACCATAATAGAAGCGGTAGTTTATAGAGGCCATAAAACCTGTAGTCCATTTCCTTCTCTTTTTGCTAGGTCTCCTTCTTCCTTGCTGTTCTAGGAGAATATAGACCAATTGTTGTATCTTGAGTGGTCACTCACAAGCTCCTAGGACCCCAAGTGTTACTCATCAAACTAGTAGGTAGACCAAACCAAACCAAACTCACTGACATTGAGTCGATTCTGACTCATGGTGACCCCTTTTGTGTTTCCTAGGCATAAATCTTTACGGAAGTAGATTGCCTAGTCTTCCTTCAATAGAGTAGCTGGTGTGTTTGAACTGCTAACCTTCTGATTAACAGTCAAATGCCTTATGCACTATGCCAACAGAGCTCCTTAGTAAGTAGAACAGAAACTCTAAAAACAACTTTAGACCAATTGACTGGATAGACCAACAAAGCCATGACCCTAAACCTTCAAACCAAGAAAAAGAATCCCATGACGTGTTTAGTTGTACCTAAGTAGTATTGACAGTTATGGCTTTTTCTTTTTTTGGTTGCTGTTATAGTTGTAAAGTTATACAAAACACTATTTGCCATTTCACCCTTTTTTAGGGGGTTACAGCTTAGTGATAACAGCTACATTAGTCAAGTTAAGTAACCATTACCCATGTTGTTGTTGTTGTTATGTGCCGTCGAGT